AAAAAAATTGCCTGAATAAAATAAATGTTATGCTGAAGGTAGACTGTTATCAGTTTTTAATTATCAAGATGTAAATTTTATACTTATTACTAGTGTAGATAAGTTGTAATAGCCAAAAAAAGCATTTGTGTTGCCTTATGATGGAAAGTCAGCTGCCATTAATTTAACAAATTTCTGTCTCAGCAAATTGTATTTTGATTTTTTTTGAGACAGATGTTTGTGAAATATCCCAATTGTTTTTGTATTTAATAGCTGTTCCCCAAATATCTGTCAAGACTATGTTACTTATTTACATCAAAAACTTTATACTTCAGTGATATTATCTTCACTGTAGCAAATAATATGAGATTAGTTTTGTTTGATATATGTACTATATGTGGTAAATTTATTAGCCATATAATCATTACTTTACATAGTATAAATTAAAAAAATATATAGATGATATTAATTCTATACTTACCCTAAAATCGCTCAATAATTGTACATATAGCATTGTTATGCTTTTTAGAATTCTTGCTCTGGTTATATTAAGCTACTTTACATTGATATGTTGCTTTGCCTCTGCTATGCTTTTTGAATGTATACTATCTAAAATACATTACTGTTGTAGATACTTCTTATGTAAACTAGGTGGTGTCGTTTATGATTAAGTATCTGATAATTTATTTTGTATAACTGCCCTATTTGAGAATTTGTTATTTTTTTTATTTCATAGCTCAGTAATTACCATTTTCATGATTTTTTGTAAGCTTCATTCTGCTTAGTGCTCATAGCAAATCTGTAGAATTAGCATTGTCATTTTCATTTTATAGATGATGTCATTTTATAGATGAGAAAACTGAAGCTTAGAAAGGGTTGAAGTGAATAGACACAGACCTATCTATGTATAAGGTCTGCTCTTAGTTACTTTCTTATGCTTTATCCTGTGGTGACTTATATTCCAACAGTATTGGTTCCTCAACAGTGCTCAGTCAGGTTAAATTTAGAATTGTATTATTTGACAACCTGTTGTTCTATAGAATATCATCATAGGAACTTTAAGCAAAAAGCAATACAACTTGAAGAAATCAAATAGCTCTCAAGACTCAACATAGTTGTAGTTCTAGGGTTAACTGTTGGAATTTCAGCCACTTGGCCTGCTTTAATGCTCATTTATTTGGATTTTTAATTCTGAATTTGAAGCCAATATATGCATATTTCTTGTTGTATTTCCTAATGCAAAGATAGCCATACAAAATGAAATTTTCTTTTCTTTTCTTTTTTTTTAAATACAGTGGGATGTATCCTGCTTTTAGCCTGGAGTTTACCCGGTGGCTTGGATTAATCACAGTAGCACCTGTCTTTGATCTATGTGTTAACTAGAAATCAAGGAAAGACATGAGGAGATTTGTTTACTGCAAGGTGGTTCTGGCCACTTCACTGATGTGGGTTCTTGTCGATGTCTTCTTACTACTGTACTTCAGTGAATGTAACAAATGTGATGATAAGAAGGAAAGATCCCTGCTACCTGCACTCAGGGGTAAGTGCTTGTGAAATAGACATTACTCTCCCAGAGAAGAGAATGGGGATTACTTTTGACAAAACATGAAACTGGAGTAGGGCCTTTTTAAGCTTATTGAGTTAGAGGAACATTTTGGCAGAGGTATTAATGTACTTTAACCACAGGCTTAAATACATTAACTACCAAAATAATTGTGGGCTCAATCACTTCCCAACTTCTTAAGTATTTAGTCTGCTATTTGGGGCTTCAGATGTCTTATTGGAGAAAATGAAACAAATGCGTTAACTTCTCAGGTACCTTCCAATTTGAATAATTCCAGCATTCTGTGACTGAATAGAAAGAACAAGGTAGTGAACATTCAAATTGGACAGAATTTTTGAAGTTTTGACTATCAGAAGCAAAAATCTTTAGAGACCAATCACAAAACATAAGAGGGAAAAACAAAATATAGCTACACAAAGACTTTGAGAAGCAATAAACAATAAACACAATTATTTGAACAAAACACATGTTGGTGGCCAGATTTAGCTTATGGTCCACCAAAATGTTGCCTTATGTTAAATGCAAATGATGAATTCAGTATTTTATCAAGTCATTTTAATAAAGCATTTCTCCCTGTAGGGAGTCTCTGTTCTATTCAATGAATAGAGAAGAGTGAATTCTAAGGAAATAAAAGTAGTTGTATAAATGGTGATTTATTAAGTAACATCATAAAGATTCATTTCTACAGTATGTCAAATAATTTTCTTTAAGCTCATTGTGACTTCTGGATCCATAAATATATTTTTGACATATTCTTTGTAAATGAATACTCCTAAAGTATTTAACGGTGCTTGAAATTAGTTTTACTCTCATGGAATTAAACATTTTTTTTCTTGAAATCTAATTTACTTGAATTCTTTGCTTAGCTAAAGTTTTCTCTTTAATTACAAAAAAAAAAACTTTGATTCCTAGTGATTTAGTTATGCCTTTGGAAAAGTGAATCTAAATCACTAGTTAATATTTGTGTTAAGTAAATGTAATTTGCTTTTACTGTTCCAGATAATTTTACTGTTCCATAATTATTTTTGAAGTTTTGAAGTTATTTGTTATCAAAATCTGCTAGTGAACAGTTTGTCATTGATACTTTATGGTTGTGGGAAGTTTAGGGAAATACAGAAGAGCATTTGCAAAGGTTAACTTTTTGATAAAGGAGTATTTCAGACATCTTGAGTTTGATTTGGGCTTGTAATACTACTCTTGCTTCAGTGGAAAAATTCTGGTTATCTTCCTCTTTTCCAAATGAGTCAACTCTCTTACTGTAGTTTTTAACTACTATAAAGTACTTTGGAAAAAGAAAAGGCTTTGAAAGTGATTGAGTTTGGAGCCACTTAGATATTATGTGGGGTTATTTTTTTCTATGCCTTTATGCTAGAATTACTTAAAAAGTTTTATAGTCTATCAGTTTTTGATGAGAGTTACTTTTCTGATCTTTGGTTAAAATTCTAGAATAAGTCTGCATTGTCTATTTCTTTGTTAGAATATGTTAAGTTGCTATTTGATTGAAAGTGAAAATGTGTTTTGATAGAACATATTTTGGAACCATCACTATGTCATTTGTTGAATAGAGACACCTAGATTAGTTGTAAATGTTATTAACTGATTAAGCAAAACTTTGAACACCTTTTATGCATGTAACAAAAAATTATGGTTTTGTTCATGAAGTCATTAATGCTTGATTTAAATCACAAAATGCAAACTTTTATGATGCAAGGCAAACAGATAGTGACATACTTACATTGTAAAATTAAACTATAATCTCTTTAATTATTTATAGAACTTTAACATTTGTCTTGAATAAGTGGAAAGAAATTAAGGTTTAAATTTTGCTTTCTATTGGTTCTTAGTACTTTAGAATATGAATTTATTTAGAAATTTGTGCATGTGTTTTTTTTTTTCAGCAACCTTGTTTATTTTTTCACAGTTTAGGATTTACCCCCTCAAGTGTGGTCAGCCATAGTTTCCCCACCATCAGAGCACTCCTAGTCTTACCCCTTAGTCCATTGTGCCCTACCCACCTCATATTTTACTCTTCTACTCTCCCTCCCCTTACTCCCACCTTCCTGGATATCTCAGATCTGTGGTCTGTTTTTAAGGTTGGTCTTATAGTTTGTCTTTGTGTGATCCGTTGCTAGTTTCTCTAGATTCTACATATAAGTAAAACCATCCATGTTTATCTTCTCCTTCTGTGTGTATAAAATATTTTAATTTTGGGTAAATGACTCAGATTTTCATTTCTAAATATGTTAAAATCAGACTTATTGACTTCAAAATGATTCTTCTGTACTATGTGTCTCTATTACTATAACAAAGAGTTTGGGCTAAGTGGTTTCAAAGATGCCTTCTAATTCTCAATTTTAAACTATTTGTAAGTATTAGCTCATTGCAAACTTTATCAGTATCTGCTAAATGCTGTATGGAGGCATGAACAGTTTGAATGAGGTTCTATAGGATTTGCTGTTCAGGCTGACTTGGGTCTAGAACAGGGTGCAGTTTTCTGGGTATGTACTCAAAGGAGGAATTGACTAAAAAATTATTTCAATGATTACTGTTTGCTAAGACTTGGAGATAAAAGGGAAGTGATGTGCCTATTATTATGGACTTTTAGTCAACAATAAAGTAAACATTTCTCTCTTGTAAGTAATTTAAAACTTATAACAAAACATAATGGGTATAGTCTGTTAGGATAAGGAGGGTATATGCGTTGAGTACAGTAAAATGGACCTATGGTTCTAGCTAAAGATTTCCAGAGCCTGTGATATTTAAGTTGGATTTTTAAAATGTAAAAGTAAGAAATAAAAGCTAAGGGAGAAAATATTAATTTTTTTTAATGGAATGGTAAAGATTATAGAATACCTAGGATACTTCTGAAGGGGAAAAAAGTATAGAGGTCCTATAAAGTCAGGGTAATTAAGATGGTAGTGTTGGGACAAAGAAACACAGAGGATAGGCATATGGCCCATAGGAACAGAATAGAGACCCTACAGAAACAAACATATATATTTGGAACATCAGTATATGACAGAGGAAGCAGATCAATGTTTGCAGGTCAATGGGGGAATGAAGGGTTGTTCAATAAATGGAGCTGAAAATCAAATGGTATTCCATGTGGAAAACTTGAAATAGAATGCTTAACTCATGTCATAAACAGCAATAAATTTTAGAATTATTAATGTCAATAACAAAGCTACAACTTTTGTTTGAAAAAAAAAAAAAAGTTGCTTCTTCTCCAGCCCCTCCCTTCCTGAATACTCAGACCTATAGTCTGCTTTCAAGGGTTGGTCTTACACTTGTCTTTGCCTGATGCTTATAAAGCCATGAATTAAGGGAAAATTCTAAAACACTATCGAAAAAAACTTTGATCAGAAAAGAAAAGGCAGATAAATTTGCTATATTAGTAGATGGAGAAAGTTGGTTCATTCAGATATACCTTACAGAATGTAGAAGGAGAGGTTAATATATATATATATAGGTCCTAATAAGGGAAGCACAGATCATGCTTTTAGAAAAGGAAACATGTAGTAAATAAATTAGGAATAAAGTTATAATAACAGGGAAATAAAGATCAAGGCAAAATGACATTTTATCCTGTTGTATTGCTAAAAATTTAAAAGACTAATAATACTAATTGTTAGACATGATGCTTCTCTACATTTTTATAGTAACAAATTTGGATAATAGTTTGGCATTATCTCTGAATTCTGAAAATCCATATGACTTCACACAATAGTCATATTATCAAGAAAATTATTTTTTCACTGATAAATATTTCATAGCACCACTATTTGTAAAAATAAAGGCAAACATGACCCATAGGGCAATTAATGAAAATGGTAATGAATAAATAGTGGTATATCAATATAAGGTAATAATACACAGTAGTCAAATCTGACTTGTGGCATAATATACCTACTACAAGAAAAACAGTCTTCCACCAGAGTCCACTGGGCCCCTTCCCCACTTTGATATATACTTGGTTTAGCTATTACATGGAAAACTAAATAAGTAAGAGCCATTTAATACTGTTTTATCCCGATTTCTGCAACCAGCCGCAAGGAAGAAAGACGGGAGGCAAAAAGGCTGAACAAGTAGAGTTTATTGCTCCTGGCAGCAGCTGAGATGGAGCTCCCTAGGATGGGATCTGCAGCTGCTGTGAGTACTGTAGGGGAAAGTGTCTCTTATATAGGCTTTAGGTTCAGATTCTAGAAAGCTGATGTGGTGCTGTACACCTGGGTGTAAGACCCAGTTCCAGCCATTGTGCTATTTGCTATATGGTCATACAGGTACCGTTGTGTTACTGCCCATATCTGGTCACATTCCACAAATATATTTAAACATGAGAAGCTAATGAGAGGGGATAAAAGATAACAAACAATATAATATTTGTATTATGGAAAGGTCACTGTGGATCCTATGTAGAGAATGCCTTGGAAAACAGCCAATCTCTAGTGGAGGTTTCGTAGAAATTATGACAGCATTCCATGGGTTCTGTGGATGAAGATATTTACCTGCTTAGAGTAGAGTCATGACAGGGAGGTGTGAGAGATGTTTGTGCAAGAAGAGGTATTGAAGATGGGAGTAGGAGAGATGGATGCTCATTTGATTTTGGAGGTATAGATCAGATTGTCAAGAGCAAATCTTGACCTGATTTTCTGAGAAAGGGGAGGATTTGGAATAAGATTATTTAAGGTTCAATATTGAGTAATTTTGGGCTTATTGAAAGTGATACATGTGTTAGGCAAATGAATGGAATTGCTCATTGAGAAGTTGCCTATATTATTAAACTGTGAATATAAAACTTTAAAAAACTATCACTGTAATGAACTTTTTTTCTAATATGAATAACATTCTTTTCTTTATTAAATTGAGTATATGGAATAGAATTGAATCTTCCTGAGTCAGCATTATCATTTTGCATATTAATTATTGAATGATGCTGTAGGAAAGATTATTTCAGGGCCTTTATGCAAGGATGGTTC